TTATTGTTAATATTAATATTTTTAATAAATAAACCTTTCCAAAATTTAATTTAATTAAATGAGCACTCACACATAATTAAAATTACTTGAAAAAATAAAAATTCATTTCAAGTTTATAAATCCCCAAATTAAAATCATGCATGTATTATTAGTGTTAAAAAAATAAAATTTTTTATTTTTCTATACAAATTAGTGAAAAAATATGAAATTTAATAATAGTATTATGTTTTTTAAGAAATAATAAAATTTAAACTATATTATTGATTATTGTAAATTAAAATTAGAATCTTATCTATACCAATTAGTGAAAAATATGAAATTTAATAATAGTATTATGTTTTTTAAAAAATAATAAAATTTAAACTATATTATTGATTATTGTAAATTAAAATTAGAATCTTAATTAATGTAAATTGAAATTTTATCTTAGTTAATTATTTTATTTGACAAAAAATTTGAATTTCAAAAATAAAATGTTGTAAAAAATAAAAATATATATACTATATTTAATATTTTTCGAAAGTTTAAGAGGCAACTTGTTTACATCAACTCCCCTCTATTAGTCTAGTTAACTGAATGTTTGTTAAATTAAACCATTTTGAAACAAAATTAATAGTTTATAGATCACTTTGAAAAAAAGTATTGTTTCTAAACTAAACTGATATAAACTACATAATTAATAAATTATTTATTGAATTTAACCTCCCTTTTTTAGAGTAGTGTTTTGTTCTTTTCTCACAATTAAAACCCCGTTCGGTTTTTTTCTAATTGTTAGTATTAACCGAAATACTAGATGGACATACTTTAAAATATAATAGGGCCTTTAAAAAAAAAATCACCTTTTCATGATTTTTTTTTTTTTTTAGTTAAGTGTTTGATTAAACTTAAACAATAATAGAAGTGGTGTGGGGATGTGCCTTTCGAGAAGTTTAATTGGTTGTTTAGATTAGCAGAACATAAGGATGTTTTGGTAAAAAATATGGGAGAATGGAGGAATGGAGAATGGGTTTGGAAATAGAGTTGGCGTTGGGAGCTACTAGGACGTCAAAATGCCTTTTGCAGGATCTCAATGGGCTGCTGCATGGGAGTAAGCTACTGCAAGGAAAACAAGACTCCTAGAGGTGGAAACACGACTCAAAGGGAACTTAATTAATTATTCAACAAATCCGCATACATCATATTAAACAGTAACAGTAGGGAGCCAAGTTCAAAACATTTGAACATGTTATGGAGTAATAAGGTGCCACTTAAAATTTCTGCATTTGTGTGGAAAGTTATGCAGCATAGAGTTCCTACTGGTGATAATCTGTTAAAAAGAGGGATGGTGGGAACGGAGACTGAATTTTCATGCATTTTTTTGTGGAAAGCAAACTGAAATAGTGAGCCATTTATTCTTCACTTGTGAGGCAACTTGGACAGTTTGGCAAGCATCTTATGCGTGGTGGGGCCTGAAGGCTGTTCTTGCATGTGAAGGCTGGAATCATCTACAGCAACATGCAAGAATGCGGCAAAATGGAAACCTGAAGGAAGCATGGCATGTGATATATATGGTTTTCAGTTATTTGGTCTTCATGGCTGTGGAGGAACCAACTGATCTTCGAAGAAGGAAATGACAATTCTGCTATTGAGGTGGATTTAATAAAGTTACATTCACTAAACTGGATGAGGGCTAAGCTAAATGAAGAGATGCCCAAAGATTTATGGATTGAGAATCCCAGGGAAGCATGTAAAAGAAGAACCATTCAGGGATAATTGTATTGGGACTGATTTCAGTCTTGTACGTAATTTGAGCATTACTTGTGATGATGTAATGGGTTTGAATTACCTTTGTACTCATGTTTTAGCTTTTATAAATTTAATTTTTGCTTATAAAAAAAAAAAACAATAATAGAAGTGCTTGTAGGGATGGCAATGAAACTATTTTGGGTCAATGAAAAGCTCATGGCCCTTGCCAATGACAGAACAGAGATCCCCACACCCACAGGAAATTTTAGTAGAAGTGATAAAGCAAGAATAGAAGATGGAGTTTGGAAATTAAATTCCAAATTGACATAGGATCTTTTTATCTTGTGCTCTAAGGGTAGTGGATAATGGTGTATAAATATATTTTTTTGTAATTAATTTTTATTGAAAGTGTAAATGTTAATTTCAATTTAATCAATTAATTAATTAAAATCATTCATATGTCAATAGTATTAAAATATATGTCAAATTTTATAAATTTTTATATAAATTAATTAAAATAAACACATGCATATATATATATATAAACTTTAAAAAGAGGCAAAAAGTGCAAATCAACGCTTGTACTTAGCAATCAGTGGCACATCAGCTCTTCAACTCATTTCAGTGACAAACAAACCCTCAAACTCATCAATTGGTGGCAAATCAACCCTTTTTAACAAGTGACATCAGCAAATTGTTAACTCTCTATGATGATTGCATAAGTGACATTTGTCTGGGTCCATATGTTGACATGGCTGTTTAGATGGCATTTTATGAACCAAATTGATGGCATGGCACACATTTTTATAAGTTAATTTATTAACCTAAATATATTATGTTGAATATATATATTAATTTTGGAAATTTTATAAAAAAACAAATATTAATTCTGAAAAAAAAAATTATTAAGAATTAAACTGTCTTCTTCCCCAATGAACATCCAAATTTTAATCTGGAGGTTTCGCAAACCCTAGCCCGCTTTTTATGCCTAACTTTTAGAACCCTATGAGTTTCCAATCGACTTTTGCTTGTCGAACACCAATCCAACCTCAACAAAAACCTCCTCCACTTGGCCACATTGCGGACCCCCTTTTTCTTTGGTTCTTCATCATCGCCAAACGTTGGATAATACCAAAGTCAACTCCAGTGATGGCTGACTATGGTTGTTAGGCAGCAATGACACTATAGCCGACACTGTATCACTGTTAGCATAGCTAGATCTGGAAGTTTCTAGATTTGTTGTAAATCATATCTTTGGGGCTCTTGTCCTCTTCCATGATTAGGGGAATGTGTTTTCTTCTTCTTGGAAGAACTTGAGAATTGAGGAGAGGAAAGTGAGTAATATTACTAATTTTTCTCCTTTGAGGAATGAGATGATGAAAAGTCACTGAGGATGAGAGAAAGAGGAACTCGACGATGATGGTAGAGAAGGAGGGCCAAATTCTCACTGGTGAAGTCTAAGAAGGACATTAAAAAGTGTTTCATGGAGATTACGGCCATAGGCTTCTTGTGACCAAATAAGCGGTCAACATTTTTGTGGAAACAATTGGATGTGAATTCGAATTTTAATTGTGGTTCTCATTCGTTTTTTTTTTTTTTTTTTTTTTTTGATTCTTGTGTTGTCTTTATTGGTTTTATTTAGTGTAAATAGATCTATCCTTTATTCATAAGATGTTATTGCTTGGTTGCTTGGAAAATACTAAAAAATTTGCAGAAATTGGAGTTTTTCAATCTATTTTTGAATCTTTGGTTTTTTTGGTTCATGGATGAACAATGTGAAATAAACAGAGCAAGTATTTTAGTTTTTGGTTACTTGAGAAATTAGGAAGACTTTGAACAAAATCTTGATGTATTTCTTTTTGTTTGAAATGGATTTACTAAGATTTGGGTTCATTTTGGTTGGTTTCAGTGGCTGAGATTTGGTTGGGAGGGAATGAATGGAGGAGAAACGATGTAGATGGACATTTTTGGTCCTCCAAGTTTTATCAAGTAATTAAATAATTTTAA